ATGCCTGAGCCCTGGGTGAGAGGAGCCAGGTGAGGCCCACAGCCAGCCATTCGGTGGTTCTTTCACTGCTTATTTTCAGTGACCTGGTTGACTCATCTGTTTCTGCAGTGGGTTTGGGGAGAAAGCCTTGGAGGTCAGAGGGATAGGCAGAAGACGAGGAGGAGCTGGAATAGCTCGGGGTGGTGAGTTCAGCCTTGAACCACGTCCTTGTTTACACCTTCATCCCACTTCTGGTGCCCCCACTGCAAACTGGGTGGCGAATCTCCCCCATCCTGCAGCCCTGCAGTCCCAGCGCGACGAATTCTCTCAGCTACTCACCCTGCAGGTTCATTAGCTAACTTCGTCCTTTTTGAATATCTTTTAAAAAATTATTATTACAAAAGTAATACATGTTTACTGAAGAATTTAGAAAACCAAGATGAGCAAAAAGAAAACCATAATCTCTCATCTTCTAAACACTCAGAAGAAAGCACTGGGAACATTTTGACATATATCTTTTCTCATCTTTTTTGTGTCTGTGAATGTTTTCATTTATAAAAATCATATCACATGGTAATGATGTTTTGTAGTTTTCCTTTTCCCTTAAGACTATAAGATCAATTTATTTTCATAATATAAAGTCTATTTTTGGAAACATATATATACGCTAACCATTGTTTCTGTGAAACTTTTAGCTGTTTATCACCGTCCATATCTATTTATTAGAATCAAGTTCTTGACTGGGAGGCACTAGGTGAAAGAATATGCAAAATGTTAGGATTTTATTTATGTGTGTAGTTAAGTAACTGTCTGAAAGTTTCTATCAGGTGACACTCAATTAGCGTACACTAGTGTTTGTCTCTTCACATGTGCTTTTCTCCAGTACATAAAGCGTTGCATTTCTCCTATTATTAGGGAAGAGAACATTCTATCCTGTTTATCAGGCCTTTCTTTTGTATTTGCTTGTCCTAGTCTGTGCCTGTTTTGCTTCTGGAACGTGTGTGTTTGTCTCTCAGCTGTGAAAGCCCCCTTACCTTGTGAAGCAGACGAGCTTTTGTGAAACATGACGCAAATCTTCCCCCACTTCTCGTCTTTGATTTTATCTGTATTCTCATGCCCCAAGAGTCCCCCTCCTCTCCAAATGGGGGCAGCTGCTGCCTGCAATCTTTTTGTTTTGAAGAAAAATCCTGAGAAAGGGGCAGCTCTTAAATTCAACAAGTTTGGGTGTTTACCCCCAGCTATCTGCACCCCAGTCCAAGGATGCGTCATCTCCATCCCCAGAAATTTCTTCTGCCCTTCCCAGTCAACCCTCCGCGCTTCGTATTAGTGGCATCTTACGGCGTATACTTGTCTCAGACTTTTATGGTGCTTTTGACATTCATCCATCTAAAACAGTTCATTCTTTTTTATTGCTAATGTTTCCTTGTATTCCACAGTTGGGGTTTATCCGTTTTCCTGCTGATTGTACTCAAAATTTTAATTGTACCATAGTCAAATTATTAATATTTCCCTTTGATTGTTGACAGTATTTTCTATTCCTATAGAAATGTTCACTAACAGTTTTTTCTTAGTACTTTTTTTTTTAACACTTAAATCTTTAAATTTGATGAGGTAGAAATTCAACTTAATTCCTTTCTCTCCAAATGACTAGCAGGTACAACATTCAATCAATAAATAATACTTATTGAGTAATATGTAGCAGGCATTGTGCTAAACATTTTATATGCATTAGAAAACATGATGGAAAATTCACAATCACATTAGCAAAAGAACATTTTGAATACCTATACATAACAGTAAGTCCCCATAGAACTTCTTGAGAATTAACAAAATCATTCAATAGTTTATCTGGAAGAATAAACTATTACCTGCTAATCATCTGGAGAGAAAGGAATTAAGTTGAAACATTGTTTTCTCACTGACTTGAAAAGTTGAATTAATTTGAAACCACCATATTGTTTTCTCATTGACTTGAAAAGCCACCTTTATTCTGTTTTAAGTCCTTACAGGGGTGATATTAAAAATAGTGAGCAGTGGCTACGGCACAGGTGCTGACCATCCGGAAAGGCTGCCCTTCAAGAACAGCTGGAGCAGACTGGCTGTGCACAAACTGGCTAGATGTCAGCCTGCGTTCTTATATCTGCTTGGGGCTGTTTCTTTACTTTTTATTATTTTCCATCGATCTGGGCCAGTATCACATTGTTTTCATTATGGAGTCTAGATAATACGTTTTGTTTTCTGGGAGCACAGTTTCTCCCTCATTACTCTTCTTTTTGACTGTTCTCAAACGTTTATTCTTCCAGATAAACAACTATTCAATGATTTTGTCAATTCCCGAGTTCTATGGGGACTTACTGTTACGTTTAGGTATTCAAAATGTTCTTTTCCTAATGTGATTGTGAATTTTCCATTGTGTTTTCTAATGCATATAAAGTGTTTAGCACAATGCCTACCACATATTACTCAATACATATTATTGATTGAATGTTGTTATATCTGAAAGTTACTGGTTTTGTATATTTATTTTATAACTGGCCACCTTGCTGAACTTATACTAATTCTAGATTTTTAATTTGAGCCTCTGAGGCTGTCTTCATTTCCAGCCTAAGGACTGGTTTAACACTGGGATTTACTTTCTTTGAGTTTAGGACTCTCTGTAAAGTGCCTTTATATGAAGCCCCAAGTGGCTGTTCCCTGGTGTTTGGGTGTCACTCCACTTTTTCCCTTATACTCAGCTCCCAGGGCTACAGACCTCCCTTCTCTTGCGCAGAACTCTGCCTATTGTCTGAATTCTTCCATGCTGGCTGTAGACAGGTCTCCTTCAGAGACCAACGACAGACACACTCACCCAGGCCCCCAAGTCTCTCTCCTCCACAAAAGGCAAGCCCCCATTTGTCCTGCATTTGCCAGGTGCCTCTCTCTCCTGGGGGGGCCTCTCAGGTGAGGCC